CCCCCCCAAACTTAACTCCCAACCAATGTGGGACTTTGGCATTTTGCCAAACTTCAACAAATGTTACCTTTCAATTTTTCATGGTTAAACATCAACGTATTTAACAGTTTACTTTTCAAGTGCGTGTTGTGTATGACAATCTATTACTTGCACATTCACACCAGGATTCCTCGAAAAAAATTAAATATCACAACATATCCCTGTATGTTAGATTCTCACATGTTTACCTGCCAAACTAGTCCTTCTGGGTCAGCTAATGCTTGTGGGAAGTCCTTTTTCTGATCAACTGTGTGCAATTCAAGACATGTGAAATTCAGAGCTGCCTCACGCTTCTTTAACATTGATGCTATTGGAGAATAGCCATCACGACAGTTAACACTGTAAAAGCCAGCTGTTAATTCAGCTGCACCACTCTTAGTATTGCGCCACCAATAGATTCCTGGTAGCTGCTCATCAATCAGAGTGCATCAGGAACCGAGATCAATCCAAAAAAAAAAAAAATTATGATGCCATGAATATATCTAGCATTTAAAAGAATATGTTTTACACTTTACAACCTTTGCTGCTATAGGAGTGCCTTTAAAAGACAAATTTGCCAAGCCAAGTACTTGATCAGCATGATCAATTAAAACTTGAGTGTACCATTTCAAGAAAAATCTGCCATAAAAGCGATTATATTCTCCGCCATCACGAAAAAACTCAGTCTTTTGTGGTTTAGAATTGTAAGAACCTGCATTCCAAGGTCCTTTACCAGAGGATGAGGATCCGGATGCCTCTGCTGCCTTTTGCAAGCTATTAAACAAGTACTTATCATAGCACTGCAAAGGATGTAAGCACACATGATTAATAAATATGTCACGCTAGATATCAAGGGTCGATAGCTGATCTATTACTATTATGAAAGCGGGAAGAGCCAAAGTGAACATGATATCAAGGGCAAGAAAGTTTGCACAACGGGAGAAACCTTGGCTATGATTCTTGAATTGTTATTGTTGTGCATCTTTAACAAAGAATTTGGTGCTTTGGGAAGATACATAAGACTGTGTTTTTCATTTTTTTGATTATTTATTATCCTTTTGAATTTTCGTTATCCAGACCCCACTCGTGGGGTTACACTGGGTATGTTATTGTTGTTGAATTATCGTTATAACCAGAGATATGAAAAGCGGGTTGTTTGGAATTACGAGCTTTCAAGGGAAGCAAGAAGCCAAGGAAGCGCACAAGCATTTTGGCAAGTCTATATGGATAATAGTCAAAGTACTAGTGAGGTGTTTCTATTTCTTGTGAGATGTTTTTATTTCTACTCTCCCATATTTCTAAATTAGCCGATATTGAAAACAGTGGTGTTATTCTTTCTTATTGAAACCGACAAGAAGAAAAGCTATCCAAAGGCATGATAAATTGAATAAGTCTTTGACCTTATGTGATACTTGAGTCTTTAAACTGTCACTCATGACTATTATTTTTCTCCTTGTTTTTCTTTCTTTTTTGGTTGTCTTTCTGCACTTTTCATTGCAAGACAGAGGGTTATCAAACTAAAAACAGTTATTGGAATGACGTTGGAACAACCATTAGATCTTGGGTTCAAATCCTAGTGGAGGCAAAAAATACCAGGTGATTACTTTCCGTCCACCTAAGCCTTGGTGGATAGAGTTACCTAGTATTTGTATTAGTGGAGATAGCAGACACTCAGTGGAATAGTCGAGGAGTGCGGAAGCTAGCCGAACACCACCGTCATAAAAAAAGAAGTTATAACACATTTAATATTGTAGTGTGACTACAAGTATTCACATTGTTGATCGGGTAAAATATCATTTACGATAAAAAATAGTCAATTACCATTTGAGAGGTTAAATTCACCTGAAATTCACCAATACCAGGATATTTCCACCCAAGTTTTGCAGAATGAGAAGGGTATCGTAATTCTCCACATGGACCAAGTCCAATTTCAATCTCAGAGATGACTCCATTTTCAAAGAACTCAATGAACTCCACGCTGAAGCTTCTCATTAAACCAAAGTAAACCTGTACTAGCAAATTAGTCATTGAAATAATACACCTTAAAAAATCATTTGATTTTGGGATGGGAAAATTCTTCAAGAAGTCATAGTATTACCGACGTTAATGGTGCACGAGTATTTGAATAACCAAAAAAAAAAAATAGCAAGTTTTTGACATAATTAGCACTGCTGTTGTGAGTAATTTAACAGTAATGGTAAAAAGGTAAATACCTTAAGCAACTTATTCTCCTACACTTTGATATCAAATAGAATCAAGAAAAAAAGAAGTAGAAAACAGTATGTGGGCCTACTTAACTATATGACGCACAAACAAAAGAACAAAAAAAGATTACCTCAAGAGCAGTTCGTCCTCTTAAAACACGCTCCTTGTCAATTCCCCAGGTGAGACATTCATGGGTTCTTCTAAGATCTCTGTCTGCAAAAAATATGTCTGGATTTTTGTAACCAATTTCTGTAACCCATCGTGGAAGAGGAATATGAACATCATCACCGACATTTCCTCCGCATTCATGGAATGACATTACCACCTGGATATTTTCTTCAAAAGTAAGACGACTGAGAAAGTTCAATTACTTCAATAAAATATTTTAGAAAGGAAGAAGTCAAAGAAGACACCAGATCACATTAATGATGCAATTCCATACAACCGAGAACTAACCCGCAATTTTAAGTTAAGATCTCGAACAATTTCAAAAAGCCTCTTGTAACCGCCCCAATTATATCTTTTTGGGGCATGCGCCTCCACTATACCCCACCAGCACTCCACGACGNGAGACTTCTCTCTAAGTGGAAATTGAGGAGTTCCACTTCCGGGGGACACGGGGTTTAGTTAATTAAGGATATTAAAGTGACCGGACATAGAAAATTGTTAGATATATCACGTGCGCTGCTTAAGGAGAATCCGAATTTATACATGGACCCCTTAAGTTGCAATGATGTAGTTTGAGCCCCTAATTTTGGTATGACGGCGGAACAACGCGAAGGTGTCATCTAATTGCGGGATTAATTTTTTTTTTTTCAATTGTTAGATGACTTTGAGCAAAACTTCTTAAAATATTTGTCTAAAACTACTTTAGACTTTGGGAATACTATAGATATCTTTGCCCCTGTTCTTCCTGATAATAGTTTCATTTCTTATGTTTTGCCTTGATGAATGAGAGAGATTTTGCTAAGTTTTGGAGTTTTTTATGTATTTTTTTCTAGGGAATTTGGCATCATGTAGATGCCATCCAAGTTAGAGGTGACAAATGGAAGACTGTATTTGAGCTGGTCAAGATGGATTGACTCGTCAAATGGATCATTGCCCAACCTTGCTTAAAGTTCACTTGGATCAAGATGAATTGGGTCAAGAAGGGCTAAACAATAGGTTGTAATTGTCACGATCCGGATTTCCCACCGTTTGGGTCGTGATGACGCCTAACTCTTGAATGCTAGGCAAGCCAACAATTACGGTTCTAAAATATTAATCACTAACCCAAAACAACAATAAATAATAATTAAAGCTAAACCGACATAAGTGCGGAAATTTTTATAACAGTTCGAAACTCTAAAACACGACTACCCCAATAATCTGGTGTCACAATCCATGAACATCTAAGGATTTCTACAAATACTGGTTTAAAAGAAATACATCTGTTCTCGAAATTAAAAGAGACAGGAAATCTAAGATAAAGGGAAGGCGACTCCAGGGTCTGCGAACGCCGGCAGATCTACCTTGGGTCTCCTGTGGACTGAAGGCAGCAACCCAAACTCTACTCATGAGGTCTGACTCTGAAATCTGCACAGAAAGTGCAGAGTGCAGTATCAGTACAACCGACCCCATGTACTGGTAAGTATCGAGCCTAACCTCGGCGAAGTAGTGAAGAGGCTAGGACACGATAACAATATGTAAACCTGTGCAGTTAAATCATATATGAGAAAGTAATAACAACAGAAATTTAACAAAACATAACGGGAAGGGAAAACATGCTGAGGGGAATATCAAATTCTGACAGTAATATAGTAAAAAAGCAAAATGAATATCAGGTTTTGAACCAACAGAAGTAATAACATAGTAACATGTGCACGACATCACCCTACGTGTTTTTACTCTCGTCCTCACCATAAAAACAACAGAAACGGCATGACATCACCCTTCGTGCATTAACTCTCTCATAATCATGGCACGACATCACCCTTCGTGCATTAACACTCACAGAATATGACACGGTATCACCTTTCGTGCATTAACACTCACTTACAATATCGTGCACGGCATCACCCTTCGTGCTTTACACTCTTCCTCACCCAAACAATAGAAACAATAATATCCCGGTAAGAGAATCAACTATAACCAATCTCGTTTCAACAGTTAAATTCACAATATAAGTCTCAACTTGAGTCAATACTGAACAATTACCCAATAGCAAGAAAACATAATAAGACTTGTTCACCATGAAGAATAAACAGTTTAAGCATGAACAATACGTAATAAAAGACACAATGGTCACAAGTATAAGACTCACTTGCATGCTATGAACCAACATCAACGTATAGATACTCGTCACCACACCTATATGTCGTACTCAACAACTAAACACGTAGCAAATAAGGCAACAACACCTAATCCCTCAAGTTAAGGTTAGCCACAACACTTGCCTCGATTCCACAGCTACAATCAAACCTCAATTACCGCTTTACCTCTCGATTGCACCTCCAATCCGCTTGCATCTAGTCATAATTAACTTAATAACATCAATAAATGCTAAAGAACTCAATTCCAATGCTTAATTATAGGGTTCTCAACATTTTTCCCAAAAGGTCAAAAACTGACCCGGGGCCCACTTGGTCAAAACTCGAAGTTCGAACCAAAACCCGATTGCCCATTCACCCCCGAGCCCGGATATGCAATTGATTTTGGAATCCGACCTTAATTTGAGTTCTAAATCCCCAAATTTTAAAATTCTCAAATTTCACCCAAAAACACCCAGTTTCCCATGAAAATCCCTAAATTTTGTGATGAAATCTTGTAAAATGATGAAGTAGATTGAAAGAAATGAGTTAGAAATTGTTTACCTATGATTTGGGGAAGAACTACTCTTTAGAAAATCGCCACTTGAAGTTTACGGTTTGAAACTTTGAGAAATGAGTTGAAAATCCTATCCAAAACTCTTTTGAACAGTTGCAGATATCGCATTTGCGATCAGGGGTTCGCAAATGTGAACAATTCATCGCAAATGCGAAGAATGTCCAAGACCTGCCTTCATCGCAAATGCGAACACTTGATCGCAAATGCGACCTGTTCACATCGCAAATGCGATCCTGAGCCTCGTAATTGCGAAGGTCCCCTCCCAGCCTCACTGATCGCAAATGCGATCTTTCTTCGCAAGTGCGACACTAGCATTTGCGAGCCAGGCTTTGCAAATGCGAAGCCTGCACACCTGAAACATACCAGCAATTTTTTTAAGTTTCAAAACACTCAATGGCCTATCCAAAACTCACCCGAGCCCTCGGGGCTCCAAACCAAACATGTACACAAGTCTTAAAATATCATAAAGACTTGCTCGTGCAATCAAATCGCCAAAATAACATCTTAAACAATGAATTTAACACCAAAACTCATGAAATTCCTAAGAACACTTGAAATTTCCATTTTTACAACCGGACGTCCGAATCACGTCAAATTACTTCCGTTTTTTACCAAATTTCACATATAAGGTTTAAATATTATAACGGACCTGTACCGGACTCCTAAACCAAAATACAGGCCCGATACCAACAAGATCAAGCATTATTCAATTTCTAAAAACCATTATATTTTTCAGTTAATAATTTTCTTCAAAAATTCATTTCTCGGGCTTGGGACCTCGGATTTCAATTCTAGGAATACGCCCGGGTCTCATATTTTACTATGGACCCTCCGGGACCATCCAATCACGGGTTCGGGTTTGTTTACTTAAAATATTGACCGAAGTCAACTTAAATCAATTTTAAAGGCAAAACTCAATATTTTCCTTAAATTTTCATATAAGGATTTCTGGAAGCATGCCCAGACTGTGCACGTAAATCGAGGAGGAAGAAAATGAGGTTTTCAAGACCTCGAAATATGGAATCGGATTCTAAAACGGAATATGACCCATTAGATCATCACATTCTCCACCTCTAAAACAACCATTCGTCCTCGAACAGACATAGAAAAGTACCTGATCTGGTGAAAAGATAGGGATATATACTCCTCATATCGAACTTGGACTCCTAAGTAGCTGCCTCAATAGGCTGACCTCTCCACTGCACACGAACCGAAGGGTAACTCTTTGATCTCAACTAACGAACCTGCTGGTCTAGAATAGCTACCGACTCCTCCTAGTAGGTCAAATCCTTGTTCAACTGGACAGTGCTGAAATATGCTACGTGGGATTGATCACCGTGATACTTCCGAAGCATGGACACATGAAAAACTGGACGCGCAGCAGATAAACCTGGCGGCAACACAAATCTGTAAGCCACCTCTCCCACTCGATCAAGGATCTCAAAAGGCCCGATGAATCTAGGGCTTAGTTTGCCCTTATTCCCAAATCTCATCATGCCCTTCATGGGCGACACCCGAAGTAACACTCGCTCTTCGATCTTGAATGCCACATCACGAACCTTACGGTCAGCATAACTATTTTTCCTGGACTGAGCTGTACGGAGTCTATCCTGAATGATATTAACCTTATCCAAGACATCCTGAACTAAATCTATACCTACCAACCGAGCCTCCCTCGGCTCAAACCATCCAATCGGCGACCGACATCGTCTACCATATAATGCCTCATAGGGAGCCATCTGGATGCTCGATTGATAACTGTTGTTGTAGGCAAACTCCTCTAACGGCAAGAACTGATCCCAAGAACCTCCAAAGTCAATAACACATGCGTGGAGCATATCCTCCAAAATCTGAATAACACGCTCGGACTGTCCGTCCGTCTGAGGATGAAATGATGTGCTCAACTCAACTCGCTTACCCAACTCACATTGTACTGCCCTCCAGAAATGCGAGGTAAACTGCGTACCTCAGTCAAAAATGATAGACACGGGCACACCATGGAGAGGAACAATCTCATGGATATAAATCTCTGCCAACCATTCAGAAGAATAGGAAACTACCATAGGGATGAAATGCGCTGACTTGGTCAGCCGATCCATAATAACCTATACTGCGTCGAACTTCCTCTAAGTCCGTGGGAGTCCAACAATGAAGTTCATAGTAATACTCTCCCACTTCCACTCAAGAATCTCAATCTGCTGAAGCAAACCACCAGGTATCTGATGCTCGTATTTTACCTGCTAACAATTCAAACACCAAGCTACGTATGCAACAATATCCTTCTTCATCCTCCTCCACCAATAATGTTGCCGCAAGTCTTGATACATCTTGGCAGCGCCCGGATGAATAGAGTACCGGGAACTATGGGCCTCCTCTAGAATCAACTCACGAAATCCATCCACATTAGGCACATAAACTCGACCTTGCATCCTCAAAACTCCATCATCTCTAACTGTAACCTGCTTGGCACCACCGTGCTGCACTATGTCCCTAAGGACAAGCAAATGAGGGTCATCATATTGCCGATCTCTGATATGCTCAAATAATGAAGACCGAGCGACTGTACAAGCTAGAACAAGACTGGGCTTAGAAACATCCAACCTCATGAACTGATTGGCCAAAGACTCAACATCCAAAGCAAGCTGTCTCTCACCGACTGGAATATATGCAAGACTGCCCATACTAGCCGACTTCATACTTAAGGCATCGACCATTACATTGGCCTTCCCAAGATGATACAAGATGGTGATATCATAGTCCTTTAGTAGCTCCAACCACCTCATTTGCCTCAAATTTAACCCTTCTACTTGAACAAGTATTGCAAACTCTTGTGATCCGCGAACACCTCACATGACATGCCATATAAATAATGCCTTCAAATCTTCAGCGCGTGAACAATGGTTGCTAGCTCCAAATCATGAATTGGGTAATTCTTCTCGTGAATCTTCAACTCCCGCGAAGCATATGTAATAACCTTGCCATTCTGAATCAATACCGTACCAAGCCCAATACGAGATACATCACAATACACTATATATGGCCCTGAACCTGTGGGCAACACCAACACCGGTGCCATTGTCAAAGCTATCTTAAGCTTCTGAAAGCTCGCCTCACACTCGTCTGACTACCTGAATGGGGCACACTTCTGGGTCAATTTGGTCATCAAGGCTGCTATGGATGAAAACCCATCCAGGAACCGACAGTAGTGGCCTGCCAAACGCAACAAACTCCAGATCTCTATAGCTGATGTGGGTCTAGGCCAGTCTTTGACTACCTCAATCTTCTTAAGATCCACCTGAATACCCTTTGCTGATACAACATGATCTAAGAATGCAACTGAACTCAACCAAAATTCATACTTCAAAAAACTTAGCGTATAACTGGCTGTCTCTCAGAGTCTAAAGAATGACTTGAATATACTGTTCATGCTCCTCTCGGCTGCGGGAGTAGATCAAGATATCATCAATGAAAAAAATCACAAAGAAATCCAGATAGGGCTTGAACACTCGGTTCATCAAATCCACGAATGTTGTTGGGGCATTTGTCAACCTAAATGACATCACTAGAAACTCATAATACCCGTACCAAGTGTGAAAAGCTGTCTTAGGGACATCGGATGCCCTAATCCTCAACTGATGGTAGCCAGACCTCAAATCAATCTTCGAAAACACCTTGGCACCCTGAAGCTGATCAAATAAATCATCAATCCTCGGCAATGGATACTTGTTCTTGATGGTGACTTTGTTCAACTACCGATAGTCTATGCACATCCTCATCGACCCATCCTTCTTCTTAACAAACAACACCGGTGCACCCTAGGGCGAGACACTAGGTCTAATAAAGCCCTTATATAACAAATCTTGCAACTGTTCCTTTAATTCTTTCAACTCTGGCGGGGCCATGCGGTATGACAGAATAGAAATGGGCTGAGTGCCCGGAGCCACATTAATGCAAAAGTCAATATTCCTGTTAGGTGGCATCCCCGACAGGTCTGCAGGAAATACCTCTGGAAACTCACAAACAATTAGTATGGAATCCATGGAAGAAACCTCTACACTGGAATCACAAACATAAGCCAAAAAAGCCAAACACCCCTTCTCGATCATACGCCGAGCCTTCATATAAGAAATGAACCTACTGGTAGAATGCCATGGGTCCCTCTCCACTCCAATCGAGGCAACCCCGGCAAGGCTAAGGTCATAGTCTTGGCGTGACAGTCCAATATGGAATGATAAGGTGACAACCAATCCATCCCCAAAATGACATCAAAATCGACCATATCAAGAAGTAGGAGATCTACACGGGTTTCAAGACCCCTAATAATAACCACACACGAGCGATATACATGATCTACAATAATAGAATCACCCACCGGTATGGACACATATACATGAGCACTCAAAGAATCATGAGGCACAACCAAATACGTAGCAAAATAAGATGACACATAGGAGTATGTAGACCCTGGATCAAATAAAACTGAATCATCTCTACTGTAAACTAATACCATAGCTGTGATTACCGCATCGGATGCCTCAGTCTCAGGTCTGGATGGGAAAGCATAACACCAGGGATGGGCCCCACTACTCTGAACTACATTCCTGGGATGGCCTCTTGCTAGCTGGCCTCCACCTCTAGCAGCCTGACCTCCACCTCTAATACCTCAATCTCTACCTCTAGTTGCCTGACCCCTACCTCTAGCTGGCTGAGCGGGCGGTGGAACACCTGATGCCGGAACCACGGCACGAGAACCCTGATGCTGAGAACTGCTCGATGCTCGAGGGTAAAATCTAGCAATATGCCTTGGATCATCACAAGTATAACAAGTCCTCGGCTGCGGGGACTGCTGACCCTGAAACTGGCCCTGATGGCCTGAGTAACCACCCTGAAGACTCTGGAGCGAAGGTACACTGATAGGAGCTGGTGATGCACTATAGGGTGGCTGATTAGAATACTGCATATGAGAACCACCACCACCCGACGCACCCTAAGAAGCCTTAAGTGCTAAATGAAACGGCCTGGGAGGATGGCCCCTACCAAAAGAATTCTTGCCTTCAAACGAGGCACCACTAAACCTACCAGAATGATGAGGCCTCTTGTCATACCCCTAAACACTCCTCTGACCTAGAACTTCCTCAACTCACCGGGCCATATTGGCCTCATCCTGAAAAGAAATCTCGCTACCGGTCTCCTTAGCCATCTGCAATTTGATAGGCTGAGCGAGTCCCTCAATAAACCTCCCCACTCTCTCTCAGTGGGGAGTATGAGAAGAGCATGATGAGCCAAATCAACAAACCTAGTCTCGTACTAGGTGACAGCCATAGAACCCTACTGAAGATGTTCGAACCACCTCTCTCTGAGTGATAGGAAGGAACTTATCGAGAAATAGTTGAGAGAACTGGTCCCAAGTCAAGGCAGGCGACCCAGCTGGTCTAGTCAACACAAAATCATTCCACCATATCTTGGCGGACCCTATCAGCTGGAATACAGTGAAGTCGACCCCATTGTTCTATACTATCCCCATGTTCTGCAACACCTCATGGAAGCTGTCAAAATAATCCTGGGGGTCATCAGAAGCTGCCCCATTGTAATGAACCGGGAAAAGCTTGGTGAACTTATCCAACCTCAACAAAGCCTTAGAAGACATAGATGATCCACCAGCGGTCTGAGCCACAACAACTGGCTGAGCTACTCCTACTGGCTGAGCTGCTGGAGTCTGGAATTGAGGAGCTATCTGCTCCAAAGTGTAGGTAGCGGGAGTCTGAGCTCCTCCCCCAGCCTGAGAGATGACTGGTGCTACAGGGAATGTGCCAGTCTAAGCTACATTCTCCATAAGGTCTACTAAACGGACCAAAGCATCCTGAAGTACCAAGGTAGTGATGAACCCCTCGGGAACCTGAGTTGGCCCTGCCGAAACAGTCTGAGCTGGAACCTTATCATCAAACTCCACCTAAGGCTCCGCTGCTGGTGATGCTGCTTGAGCTCTAGGTTGAGACCTGCCCCTGCCTCGTCCTCTAGCACGACCTCGGCCTCATCCTCTACCCCTTGTAGGAGCTGCCAATGGGGGCTCGCGCTGCTGATCAGCTGATAAAGTTGTACGTGTTCTCGTCATCTGTGAAAGAACAAAGTAGAATTTCAATTAGCATTGAGAAGTCAAATCGTATGACAGAGAAGAATAAATGTGAAGTTATTCCTAAACTCTGTAGCCTATGGGGATAAGTACAAACGTCTCTGTACCGATTCCTCAAACTCTACCTAGCTTGTTCGTGAATGGTGAGATCTAGGCAACCTAGTGCTCTAATACCAACTTGTCACGACCCAGATTTCCCACTGTTGGGGTCGTGATGAAGCCTGACTCTTGAATGCTAGGCAAGCCAACAATTACGATTCTAACATATTAATCATTAACCCAAAACAACAATGAATAATAATTAAAGCTAAACAGATATAATTGCATAAATTTTTATAACAGTTCGAAACTCTAAAACATGACTACCCCAATGATCTAGTGTCAAATCCATGAGCGTATAAGGATTTCTAAAAATACTGGTTTAAAAGAAATATATTTGTTCCCGAAATGAAAAAAGACAGGAAATCTAAGATAAAAGGAAGAGAACTCCAGGGTCTGCGAATGCTGGCAGATCTACCTTGGGTCTCCTGTGGAGTGAAGGCAGCAACCCAAACTCTACTCACGAGGTCCGGCACCAAAATCTGCACAAAAAGTGCAGAGTATAGTATTAGTACAACCGACCCCATATACTGATAAGTGACGAGCCTAACCTCGGCAAAGTAGTGACGAGGCAAGGACACGACAACAATATGTAAACCTGTGCAGTTAAATCATATACGAGAAAGTAATAACAACAGAAATTTAACAAAACATAATGGGAAGGGGAAACATGCTGAGGGGAATTGTGACAGTAATACAGTAAAGAAGCAAAATGAATATCAGGCTTTGAACAAGCAGAAGTAATAACATAGTAACATGTGCACGACATCACCCTTCATGCTTTTACTCTTCTCCTCACCATAAGAAACAATAAAAATGACACGACATCACCCTTCGTGCATTAACTCTCTTATTATCATGCCACGACATCACCCTTCATGCATTAACACTCACAGAATATGGCACGACATCACCCTTCATGCATTAACACTCACAGAATATGGTACTGCATCACCCTTCGTGCATTAACACTCACTCACAATATCGTACACGACATCACCCTTCATGCTTTACACTCTTCCTCACTCAAAGAATAGAAACAATAGCATCCCCGCAAGGGAATCAGCTATAACCAATCTCGTTTCAATAGTTAAATTCACAATGTAAGTCTCAACTTGAGTCAATACTCAAAAATTACCCAATAACAAGAAAACATAACAATACTTGTTCACCATGAAGAATAACCAGCTTAAGCATGAACAATACGTAATAAGAGACACAACGATCACAAGTATAAGACTCACTTGCATGCTATGACCCAACATCAACATACAGATACTCGTCACCACATATATACGTCGTACTCAAAAACTAAACATGTAGCAAATAAGGCAACAACACCTAATCCCTCAAGTTAAGATTAGCCACAACACTTACCTCTATTCCACGGCCACAATCAAACCTCAATTAGCACTTTACCTCTCGATTTCATCTCCAATCCGCTTGTATCTAGTCATAATTAACTTAATAACATCAATAAATGCTAAAAAACTCAATTCCAATGCTTAATTATAGGGTTCTCAACATTTTTCCCAGAAGGTCAAAAACTGACCCCGGGCCCACTTGGTCAAAACTCAAAGTTCGAACCAAAACCCGATTGCCCATTCACGCTCGAGCCCGGATATGCAATTGGTTTTGGAATCCGACCTCAATTTGAGGTCTAAATCCCCAAATTTTAAAATTCTCAAATTTCACCCAAAAACACCCAATTTCCCATGAAAATCCCAAGATTTTGTGATGCAATCTTATAAAAAGATGAAGTAGATTGAAAGAAATGAGTTAGAAATTGTTTACCTATGATTTGGGGAAGAACTACTCTTTAGAAAACCACCTCTTGAAGTTTAGGGTTTGAAACTTTGAGAAATGAGTTCAAAATTCCATCCAAAACTCTTTTGAACAGTTGCAGATATCGCATTTGCAATCAGGGGTTCGCAAATGCGAAGAATGTCTAGGACCTGCCTTCATCGCAAATGCAGCCTGCTCACATCGCAAGTGCGATCCTGCGCCTCGCAATTGCAAAGGTCCCCTCCCAGCCCCACTGATCGCAAATGCGATCTTTCTTTGCAAGTGCGATACTCGGGGCTCCAAACCAAACATGCACACAAGTCTAAAATATCATATGGACTTGCTCGTGCAATCAAATCGCCAAAATAACATCTTAAACAACGAATTTATCATCAAAACTCATGAAATCCCTAAGAGCACTTGTAATTTCTATTTTTACAAGCGGACGTCCGAATCATGTCAAATTACTTCCATTTTCACCAAATTTCACATATAAGGTTTAAATATTATAACAGACCTGTACCCGGCTCCAAAACCAAAATACGTGTCTGATACCAACAAGATCAAGCATTATTCAATTTCTAAGAACATTTGTTGTAAGCACGTGATTTTTGCCCTATATGAGAATTACTCCCAAAAAATTCAAAATAAAACAATTTTCCTTTTGTGTGCAATTTTGAGAATTTCGTGGCATTTTTGGATAATTATTTGTATTTGTCTGTGCATGTTTATTTGTTAAATTAATAAAAAATACAAAAATATGTCGCATTTGTATTTAGGATTTAATTCTACAATTAGGAGCAATTAAGTTTGTTTTATAAAAATGAAAAATCACAAAAAATAATGTATGTTTGCATTTTTAGTATTTAATGTCCAAATTGTGTGATTTTTTCGTAATTGCTATTTAATTGTGTGTTAATTGTTATTGAGAATTAATTTGCACTTTTATAAATTAATTAAGTTCTATAGGATAATTTAGGATTTTTAGAATTTAGTTTTAGTTTAAGAAAAAATAAAAGAAGAAAAAA